AATTGAAATTAAAAATGAAATTAATAAGGAAAGACTGAAACAAGATTCATGTTTCTTTTAATAAATAGCAATCTTTCTAGTGAGCTTGAATTTAAACTGGACCCAATTATTTGTTTTATCCGAATTAATTTTTTCGAATTATTTGCTTTATTCAAATTAACTTCCTTATTCGAATTATTTTTTTTATTTCCTTATTCGAATCAATTTTCTTATTCGAATTATTCGTTTTATTCAAATTAACTTCCTTATTCGAATCAATTTTCCTATTCGAATTATTCGTTTTATTCGAATTAAAATTTATTCGAATTATTCGTTTTATTCGAATTAAAATTTATTCGAATAAACTTTCAATGTAATTCAAATACTCAAATTCATAGCGAATAAAGTGAATAATTTGACTAAACCTTATTCGAATAGAAACCCTAATATAAACTTGCTTGATTTAATCAAACTATTTACTTGGATTATAAAAAATAACAGGTATATGAAAAAACCATTATTTTTTGCCAGGGTAAACAAATACCACTAAGCGTTATTCTTAACATGAAAGTTGGGACTACCAGTTTTATAAATTCTATAATTAAGAAATTGGATAATAACATGTGTCACCGGAATGCGAATTTGACCTTAATTCGCTGATCAATAGCCTCGAAAATTCGGAGTAATATTATATTATTTTATATTATTTATATTATTTATTTCTTATTTTTAGTTATCTATCCTTTATTTTTAGTTATTTATTTTATCTATTATTTATTTTTTAATTTTATTTTTATTTGTATTAATTTTCCGAATGATTTAATTAATTATATGAGCTCGTGTTACATTCCGCAAATTTAATTAATTCGTAACACGTTAGAATTAGACCTTTATTTAGTATATAGAAATTAATGAAAATTATCCCAGATTGGGCTAAACATTCCAGACTGGGAGAATTATCCCAAGTACAAAGTGGCCCAACCTGGGCTCCGGAATTAATGTTTTACGCTAAATATTTGTTAAAAAAATTTGATTCCCGAATAGCAATTGTGGTGATAAGAACGGATTATAAAGAATGGTATAAAGAATTAAATTCATTGTTGACCCAAATTGAAGCCTTAAGCGGAGAATACCAAGTTTTCTGTCTTTCGGAAACTAGTCCACAAGATATTATCAATTTCAATCTCTCAGGGTGGGCTAATTATCCCAAACTGGGACACATATAATTTTACATGTATATAAGGAACGAGAATTCGCTGTAATCGAAGAATAACTTTGTAACAAATTAACTTAATAATAAGTTAATAATTAGTTTCGACTAAATACAAAATTAAATAAATCATTTTTATCAAATCACTAAAACAAAATTATTCGGTAATAAATCTAATTCGTTAATATTAGCCTATTCATTCTGATCCACATAAACTAATAAAAATTTGTTATCATCAATTAAAACACTCTCTCTCAAAGATTGAAATTGTGCATGTGTCACCAATTTGGGCTTAATTTTTTTACATTAACTTCAAATTTGCTTTTTAATATTAAACAAATTCGCGGAATAGATCCTGATTATTAGTTGGTAGTTATTTTTTAAAGATTATTTTCTTAATAATAAACATTTTATCTAATAATATTAATATATATATTGCTGGATGAAATAGAATTTCAAACAAAAATAAATTCGCATAATAGATTTCAAGAATGGCTATTATTAATAAAATGGAAATAATTTGGTTTTTTTTTTAAAGGTTAGCTACATACTATTACTAATTTTTTTTCACCCATTTTCTATTATTTTTTATATAAATTTAAAAGTGTAATGGTTAAATTAAAAGTATTTATTTATTAATAACATTAGCAGAATCTGGAAGAGATGTTATTAATATTTAATATATATAAGTTAAAAGAAAAAAAAAGTTTTATTAATGATTATTAATGGTTTTATTTATACATATATTAATTGACCAGAAAATGAAAATTATTTCAAGGATGTTATTATTATTATTAAAAGGTATGTATGCATAAAATCATAATAAATAATTTCCTTTGCCATCCCAACCATTTTCACTCTTTGCATTGAGTGGCAATTGGTGGATAATTAACCAATATGAAGCAGAACATACTTCAAAAATTTATAAATTTCCTACATAGATTATAATATGAATAAAATATTTTCATATTATATAGTGGAGAAATACCTCTGAAAGATCTTGGGCTCAAAATACAGACTGATGGAGTAGGATTTCTAAATGATGTTGTGAACTACCTGATAGTTTGTGAAGAGGGAGCTATACCAGGTGCACCACAAAAAAAAAATTCATTGATGATGACATCAAATGCAGTCAGCATGGCTGCATTATATAATAATATTGTCATAGAAGAAGTTGATGCATGCTGACAACTCTTTACCAGTTTACAAGTATATGGTCAACAGCATTTAAGACCAACTCATCATTTACCATGATGGATTTTAGATGTATGCAATGCATTACATAATTTGTATTAAAATATTTCATATAATTTGAAAATCAATAAATTCAATTTTAGGTTTTCATTGGTTATTCAAGGTTGATCATTTCAGCCTACTGAAAGATTGGGTTGATATGCCAACCTTTGTTTGGTTATATGAGACAATAGACAATGGGCTGCAAGCATTTGCATGCTTTCATTTTTCTATATGCAAATCAATAATTATATTTTTTGTGAATATAGTTAAGCATTAATTCCAGAAGCGTGAGACAATACTCTGAAATTAGTATAGCCAAAAAATTAGCACCATTAAAGTGTCAATATGAATTATCTTGAATAGAAATTGATGATTAATATTTCATTATTTTGTATCAAGGTTAAAATGATATTAATATAAATATTAGTATTGATTACGTTAGCCGAAATTGCCTCTTTAAATGATTGACACTGAATCTGAAATGCTGAAATAGTTTTCCATAGTTGATGAAATCAACTTTATTAGTTGGCAAAATTACATCCAAAATTATTTGAACACTTTAACCCAATAGCCAAAATTCTGGGTAGTTTTTTATGTCTGTTGATATATATAAAGAATATTGTAAATCCATTGCTTGCCGAAATTGCTGTTTTCAAAAACCATTTCAGCTCACATCCTTGATATTGATATTAGTATAAATTGTGAACCTAAATTTAAATTTATCATTTTTAAATTATTAAAAATAAGGTAAATGACTTCAGACTTTGATAAACTTGTAAACCAAATCGGAATACATATCAAGAGCTTGTGATTGGTGTAGAAGAGTTGGTTAAGGTGCATTCATAATGGCCCTTGCAAAACATGCAATGATGGTTCAAAGATTTGCACATTTAAAGGAAAACAGCAACATGAGTATTTCCTTGTAAAAATGAACCATCAAGACTGAAAAGAGATAAAGGGCATATGATTTTTTTGTTGATTTCGAAGATATTTTTATTTACAACTAGCTAAAAAATAAATTTTTCATTAATTTAGTTATACTACCCTTTTCATATTTTTTATCCGCTTTTTCAGTTGTCCATAATTACACAGTAATTTAGTTAAGGAACAAAAAACGGAAAATAATTTTAAAAAAAGTAGTATATTTAAAGAAAATTGATATTAAATAATGTAGTATACAGACAGTATTAGAAAAATATTATTTTAAAAAGGAATACATTATTGACCAACAGATTTTAGTTATTGGTCAATTGAGATAATAACATTGTTACTAAAGATGTTAAATGATGGTTATTTGCTGTTGTGGTGAAATATTGATCACATCATTCTCTTGAATTATTTGAATGGGGATGGATTCAATAGGCAACATTTGTCCTATTAACAAATAATCTAAGTCAAGCAAGTTCATTTGAGACTGATCCTGGGAAATTTTCTTCGATTATTAGATAAATA